GTTTAAGAGGTGGCAGCATAGTTCAGTGGTAGAAAACCTAACCTAGCAACCTAGCATGCACAGGGCCTTGGGGTCCATCCCCAGTACACACACACACACTCACACACACACACTCACACACATAGACACACACACTCACACACACTCACACACATAGACACACAGACACACACACACACATAGACACACAGACACACACTCTCACACACACACACACAAACACACACACAGCGTTCACCAGCGAAATGTTATAAAGAATAAAAATATCCAACTGTGACTATTTAATGAGAGGCAAATATGTTTTTTATTCATAGGGAAGTATAAGGAAACATGCTATAAAACTGTACAAGCAGGCCCTCTCTCCCTTTGAGACTGGGCTTGAATTTGAGACTATCTTGCTTCAGCCTCCTGAGTGTTTCAATTACATGTGTGGGTCACCAAGTTCCTCCCCCTTCTTTCTCTACTTCTTAATTTTGGAGGGAGGATTTTGAGACAGGATTTCTGTGTGGCTTTGGAGCCTGTCCTGGAACCAGCTCTGTAGACCAAGCTGGCTTCGAACTCACAGAGATCCGCCTGCCTCTGCCTCCAGAGGGCTGGGATTAAAAATGAGTGGCACCTCTACCTCTGCCCCCCATGCTCCCTTTTTATTTCTAAATCTATTTTCTGTAGAAATGTATATGAGACACAGAATTTTAAGTCTTACAACATCCATATTGAATAGTTAAAAGAAAACAGGGTTGGGTGTGATAACAGATACAGACGGATCTCTGTGAGTTCCAGACAAGCCAGGGCTACATAATAAGATCCTGTCTCAAGAAAACAAAACTCTTAACAAATTTCACTTAACCTGATATGTTCGTTGCACTTTAAAACACTAATACCCAACACGGTGTGTGCATTATTTTACATTGTCGGAATTCTTGCTTGTGTGTGTTCAAGCATGGCACATTTTCAGAACGTTAAAATCTGGACCATCAACATTTTATTCACCTAATAAGTACGTGTGGCTCTTGGCTCCCAAACTGGAGAACACAGCTCTAGCTAGCAATAGAGGCTAGCATTTATTTATATCAAGGGTTTAGTCTGTGCTGGGCGCTGCCCCACATCCACCATGTAAGGACAGTAACTTATTCATCCTCGTAATAACTCCAGGAGGCAGTGCCTGTCATCATCTTAAGCATATATTACTGTTGCAAGGATGTGGCCATGAAAGTTTGGGACTCTTGCAAACTGCTGTACTATTATGGCGGTGTAGAAGTCTGGCTGCACGGGCCTGAGTACAGAGGAAGTGAGAGAATCAGCCAGAGGCTAAAGTTATTCAGAAAACTGGATGGACAGCTATCCTTGGCTATACTGCCAAATCCCAGGTTTCAGAAGGCAGAGGCAAGAGTTTAAGGGCAGCCTGATTTACATAGTGAGTTGCAGGCCGATGAAGTGAGATCTTGTCTCAGAAAGAGAGAGAGGAGAGAGAGAGAGAGAGAGAGAGAGAGAGAGAGAGAGAGAGAGAGAGAGAGAGATGAAGGATGATTAAGAGAAAGTCAAGAGATGGAGGGAAACATGAGGACAGAGAAGTCTTCTGAAGGGTGGAGAGACTTGGAAGGGGAGGGGTTAGGCTGAAGAGGAAGCAGGAGACTAGAAGGGATATGGATAAGGACAGGGTGTGGGATGGAGTCTCCCACCCAGCAGAGGCTTATCAGAGAAATTGCCTGGCTCAGCCAAACAATGCACCATAGCCTTGCAGCTAAAGGGAAGATTTGAAGATGCTTGCTTAGTTTACCAAGACAAAATAGGCAGAAACAGAAACCTGAATCCAGGGCTTCTGTGGAGTGGGGTGTTGGACCTGAGCATCATGTGGTACCTGACTTGATTTTTGCAGACTTCTCATGGAATGCTTGCCACTTAACAGGTATGCAACCGAGGTTTTGTTTTTTTTGTTTTTTTTTGTTTGTTTGTTTGTTTGTTTGTTTGAGACAGGGTTTCTCTTGATAGCCTTGGCTATTCTGGAACTCTGTAGACCAGACTGGCCTCAAACTCATAGAGATTCACCTGCCTCTATCTCCTGAGTGCTGGGATTAAAGATGATCCACGACAGCCAGCTCCAAAGCAAGATTCTTGATCAAGTCTCATGGGCCAGTACACAGAGTCTGGATTTCCGTCCAGAGACTGAGGAAAGAGAAAGAGGCTAGTACAGGTGGCTCAGGTTTGATCAGCAGAGTAGGCGCCAGGCTTCTAAGAAAGCAAGACAATAGGTTGGACAGATGTAGGGTGAGATGACAACAGCCCAGGTGTGTGTGGGGGAGGGAGAGAGTGGGGTAGAGATGGGCCCCTATCTCCTGCAGGGCTTATCAGTTTGGATGGGAAGGAAGAATGCAGGTTTGGACAAAGTGGGCAGCAGTCAGAAGGCGAATGGAAGAGGTGTTCTTGTAAGGGAAGGTAGTAGAAGGAGAGGTTTGCAGGCTATGGAGGAGCAGAGCAGGGTGGAAGGCCTGAAGAGGGAACTCGGTGAAGGTCCGAACTTGGAAGCAAAATCCAGTAAGGGATGGAAGCCTTAGCGACTTCTCCAGTTGCTGCAGGGGAGTAGCTAGAAAGAGGCCCTATGGTGAACAGAAACTAGGGAACCAGGCAAGGGATTAATAATGCCTGCAGACCGACAGGAGGGAATTGGGGAATAACAGGCAAGGAATAGGGAGGAAAGGTGAATGAAAAACTCTGTCCAGAGTATGCCAGCATCTCATCCTAGGGATATGAGTCTGGGCAGCCCCTAGCCTCAGAGACCAGGTTAGGGGTGGAACCTGGCTTGGGTCAGGATCACTAGGCAGCTCCAGCTCCACCCAGATGATAACCAGATTTAGGTCAGGCTCCTCTGTGCTTACTTCATCACCTGTAGAAGGAGATTTAAAATAATAACAGCAACAACAACTGGGTATGGAAGGATCTCAAAAGCACTACAAGGAAAGCTGTGGTCTACAAAGTCTGTGATCTAGGAATAGTCCTGAACCAGAGCAGGTACTTAAGATACAAGCCTGGGGTGGTGAAGACAGTCCCAACTCCCGGACATGATTTGCCTCCTTTTAATAATTCTTAGCTACTGCCCAGGCTCGACAAGAAGGTGGGAGAAGATGGGAGCCTAAGGATGGGCCGATAGGATTCAGCCTCTGGAGACCAGCAAGGGTACAGGTTATGTCTTCGTAGAGAGCCCAGCACATATAGACAATTTTAGTCTCTGGAACCCGAGTCTCCGCCCAGGCCTTGCTTCAACAAGGCATGCCATCTTCCAGGTCCCACCTCTGCCATCTTAGTGATCAAGCCCCCACCAGCCAGGCGCGTCCCTTTGACCCAGGATATGGCAAAGGAAAAGGGAGAGGAATTAGGCGTTTTGTAGACAGAGAAGCGGGAGGTGAAAGGGGACAGTCCGAGACAGGAACGAGGGGGGGGCATCACAGGAAGCCTCAGATAATGAGTGGGGTCCCCAAGGAGGCCCGATGTCCGGCGTTGGGTCGCCCAGGACGCGAAAGGGCTGCAAGGTACGGTCCCCTTTCAACCTCCTCTCGCCACCTCCTCCCCAACTCGCCCAAGGGGGCCGGAATGGCACCGGCAAGCGGGGGCTTTTCGGAGCAGTCGAGTGGAAAATAGACTTTAACCCGCTTTGTAGCTGAGAGGGTGCCCGGAGCGCTCTACCGGACGAAGGCTCTCGGCAAGCCGGCGGGCCTCTGCAAGACCTGGCCTGGAGTCCCCGCAGAGTTGTAAAGCGTGTAGACCCCGCTGCCCTTCGGGTGCGAGGGGCCCAGCTCGGATGTGAGCGCTTGGGCCGCTCTGGCCAGTCGGACTCATCCGGGCAGCGACAAGAAAGCAAAATTCTCTTCGACCTCCTCCTCGCCATTCGCGAGCAAGGGCTGGGTCCGGACCCCCTAAACCAGAGTTCCCTTAGGCCACAGCACCATAGAAGACAGGGATGGAAAGTTTACAGGATACAGGTTCTAATAGTCAAATGCCCTGTCGCCCTCCGGGCTTAGTGCATGCAATGGAAACTAACCTAAGCAGATTGGCTCACTGCCCTGCGGTGGCAGGTAAAAGGGTAACGTCTAAGAGGCCAGGTTGCCACTGCTACCGAAGGACCACTAGCCTGTCCTTTAAGGCCAGCTCCAATTTAGGAAGCAGTGACCCAAAGACACCCCCCCCCCTTTGGCCTGGTCGTCGAACGCTGGGGCCTGAGATCGCTCTTTGCTCGGGGAGCGCGGTCCGGTGGGAGACAGTCGCCGTGCGTGCGGGGGGCCTGGCAAAACCGCTGCATCGGAGCGCCGCGAACTGCTGCGGGAGAGCTACGGAGCGAAGGGATCTGCGGTTTCTTCCAGAACAGTGTGAACCTGGCCGCTGGTGAAAGTCCCCTTTGAAGCGCTGCACCCCGAAATATCTAGGAAACGCGAAATTTCGGAAACATGACCTCAGCTTCGGAATACGGCTCCAGAGCGGGAGGGCTCCCTTTGGTTAGGCGAACGTAGAGCAGCTTCTCCGGAGAATCTAGGCTGGACCCCAAACACCCATCCTACACTGGGATCCAAGTTCCCTAAGAAATGAAATGACGTCCCAGGACGTGCCGCACACTCTAGAAGAGTTGATGTTTTGTCCTTGACCCCTGGCTCTGCAGATGTCCCCTTCAGACTAGGCTGCGGTGGCAGCTAAAGGGCCGAGTCAGAGAGAATCAAGATGCAGAGGGGGTGGGGTGGGGTGGGCAGACACTAGCTCGAGTGCCAATGTTCCAGTCCGGTTTTTGCCTCCGACTGGGGACCGCACCCCCACCCGCTACCCATCGCCCCGCCCCGCCCCGCCCCCCACCTTGGGGCAGGTGAGCGGCGGCCAATGGGCGAGCGCGGGGCAGGTGCCCGCTAACTCTCTCCTAGCTGAGCAGCAGCCCGGGCCTGGCCGGGCAGTGCTAGGAGGATCGCGAGCGGGGGTCGGTCTCCACGAGACTCCTAAGGCAGAGCCAGGGAGACCGCAGAAGCCTCTCGCAGTAGCACACGCAGCCCGATCCTGGGCGGTTGCTGAGAGCTGCCCACTGGGCCGCGGGGACCACGCTCCTGGTCGTGCGCAGTGGCTCTACTCGGTGCTAGGACTCTCGCACGCCCCTCGCCGCTCCGCGCCTGGCTCGCCCGCAAGGGCCGAGCGCGGGCGGGCGGGCGGGCGGGGGAGGTGAGGAGTGCGGGCGTAGGTGCATGTGCCTGGCTCGGTGCACACCCCGCGGGGCTGCAGCGCCAGGGAACCGAGCGCTTCCCCAAACCCCGATACCTCGCTCTGCTTCGGCGGCGGCCGCGATCATGTTCCAGCCTGCGGCCAAGCGGGGTTTCACCATAGAATCCTTGGTGGCCAAGGATGGTGGCACCGGCGGGAGCCCTGGCAGTGGGGGCGCGGGCTCCCATCCGCTGGCAGTGGCCGCCTCCGAGGAACCGCTCAGGCCCACCGCGCTCAACTACCCTCACCCCAGTGCGGCCGAGGCGGCCTTCGTGAGTGGCTTCCCCGCCGCTGCCGCCGCGGGCGCCGGTCGCTCGCTGTACGGAGGGCCCGAGCTTGTGTTCCCCGAGGCTATGAACCACCCGGCACTGACCGTGCACCCAGCGCACCAGCTGGGCGCCTCCTCACTGCAACCCCCTCACTCTTTCTTTGGCGCCCAACATCGGGACCCTCTCCACTTCTACCCCTGGGTGCTTCGGAATCGTTTCTTCGGTCACCGCTTCCAGGGTGAGTGTCCATGCTGGGTCCCTGACCCAGGGACGCGGGAGATGCTTGGTGCCGCGGCGGGGCTGTTCAGAAGTTGCTGCAGACAAGGCTCGGGAATCAGCCTTGGCTGTGCGCAGGCTGTTGTGCTGGTCTCCCACCCGGGAAGTGAGGCTGGGACCTCCACGCTTTCCAAAGAATTATGCTGGTTAGGACGCAAGCCCACAGGCATCCTAGGAGCTTTTCCTGACCCTTCTTTGGCCAACCTTAGTTTCCTTTATGAGTAAACTGGCCCCATCCCTGAAAGTGCGTGGCCCTAGGCCCTTCCCGCGCCAGCTTTGAGCTGTGGCCGTGCTTGGCTCTCGTGGTCATCACAACTCTTGGCGCGTCGAGGCAGGGGAAAGTCCACCTGCGCACCCTGGCTCTGGGAAGCAGGGCAGCGTCGTGCGTTCACTCCGCTGTTTTGGGACGTTTCTCAGCAACCTTGGCCACACTTCTCCAAGTCACTTGTGGCCTCTCGGACCTAAAGTGGGAGAAGGTTTGCGGTAAGCAAACTGGCTTTCTCTGCCCGCAGACCTCCTCCGGGAGCCCTCTGAGCTGCCAGAAACTCAGGACTACCATTCTTAAGCTGGGAGGGGGGCAGGGAAAGAGGGCTTTTAAGGTCATAGCTAGTCTTAGCCCCCCACCCCAGGGTCTGCAACCGCAATTGGTTTGCTAATTAAGACCTCTACAAATGCCACACACACACACACACACACACACACACACACACACACACACACACCACACACGTTATCTGACTTTCTTAAAGAAAAGAGTTGTGTTTATTGCTGTTCATTTTCTTCCATGGATTTGTAGTTTTTCCTTTCACTCATTAAGAAAAATTTAAAAAAAAGATTGGCCTTGATACCTACAGCAATTGCTTTAGTTCCTGCTTTGATATAGACTGACCCTCAGCCTTCTGAGTTCCCATAGGTAAATTCAGCGTTTGGTGCGACAGCAGCAAAAAGAAGATAAGGTTGGCACTCTGGCTCCAGGAACTACTTTGACAGTAACCCAGGGCTACACCACCAAAGTGTGAATCTGATATTTGGTACAATTAGTGATACATAAAAATATAATTTTTTTGAAGCTTTGACTATAGTTAGTTGCTTGACTGCCTCGGAGGAGAAAGCTATTTGGAGAGGGTCTTGGTGGGTCAGACAATGGCCCCAGTCTTACCTGGCCACCACGTACTAACAGAGCAAAACCTCACTCAGCCAATAGCTTAATTACTTCAGCAAGTGTTTTGGGTGAGCAGATTTTTCTCCTCAAAGGTTTGCCTATGCGGGAGGAGAAAAGCCTACGTTATTAGCCGCTTTAGCTAACATTTCCCACCACTTAACATCAATGCTTACTACTAAAATGAGGTTTTGTTCAGATTTAGCTAACTCCCCGTGTTCCCCGTGGGCTCTGTCTTCAGCTTCTCGCCCATTGACGGAGTTTTGAGTCTTCGAGGTTGTGAGACCATGGATGAAGGGACCTGGGCTGATGAAGGACCAGGGGCCCTGAGCAGAGGGTGCTGCAGTTTCCTAGTTTAGTCCAGGGTAGGAATTCTCAAGGTGCCTCCTGGACGGGACTTCCCTGCCCTTAGTCCAGAGTCTCGCGCCCTTCACTCCATCCATCTTTTGCACCTCTGGCCTCGAGCGCTGATCCTGCTGGCCCGTGGCTGGTGGAGCCTTTTTGAAGGATCCAGTTTTCGGACTCGGACCATCCTCAGCCAGGCGAAGCCAATCCATTCTTTACAAAAACCCTCTCGGAAATTCCTGCTGCTCTCTGGGCCATCGGTCCCAGCTGATATGATGTGGAGTTGCACAAACGGTGGGCCTTTTCTCTCCAGAACCGCATCTTGACGCGGAGGATTCCAGTGCGGCCGGTTTTTTTGGTTTTGTTTTGTTTTTTCAAACTCGTAAGTCGGATGGGCACTGGCCAACCTTTTCAACTCCCTGAAATGGCCCTGAAGTCTGCGTCCCTGCGACGCTGCCTCCTCGAGATCCCGCCGTGCCTGGGGGCTAAAAACCGAGCCGTCCCAGGTCCTCCGGCGCCGCGTTTTCTAGAGAACCGGGTCTCCGCGATGTTCATTTCAGTCCCGTTTTGATGCAAGAAACGAAACCCTACCAGAACGAAAAGGAACCGCGTTCAGTGCGCAGCGCTTTCGGGCAGCGCGAGCCGGTGGTGTCTGAAAGCCGCTTCTCCCCTAAGCGAGAAGCAGAAGTCGGGTGCACGGTCCCGACCTCTGAGCTGGGGGCCAAACGGGAGGAACACACTAAGACTGAACGATGTTGATGACATTTCCCAGAGAACTTTCTAAATTGGAGGGCTACGTCTGAAGGGGACTAAAGCCGACCCAGCCCTCCCAACCCGTTGCGGTTGTGGGTACCAGCTTCAAAGCGCGCCTTTGTTCACGCAGGAGGAGGAGGAGAAGGAGGAGGAGGGAAGAGGTTATCGCGCTTTGCGGTCAACCTCTCCCGGTTCTAGCTCCAGGCCATGCTGCAGGGGCACCTGGCTCCAAGTCTCTAGCTAAAGCGGCGGCGTCTCTATCTAGGACTGGAGCTCCAGCCCAGGGCGCAGCGGATTCTGCTGCTTCCCGCAGCCCGCCTCTAAGAGTCTCCATTGCTGGCTCCCAGTCATTGCCTTGCAGAGGCCTGCAGAGAAAAGATGTGGGAATTTTCACATCCTAGCTCTTAATTCCATGGGAGGATGGGTTCATGTTCCTCTCCGATGGGTGTCTGAAACTGGACGCCCTCTCTCACAGCCTGAAATTGATGAGTCCAAACAGGCTGCATCCCAAATGCAAGCTTGTTCTGTCCAGTGGTCCAGTCAAGAACTGTGTAGGCTCCCCTGCAAGTGATAGGGAGGGGTGGACCCTTTCTCATAGGTCGAAGAAAGAAGCGCCCAGGTACACAGATACCACTACCCTCGTCTTTACGGAAACACGTAGCTGTTGATTAATATCGTCGGATGTTTAGGTTTGTGCTAAACATCATCTTTCTTGCTGGGAAAAGCTTTGATTTTTTTTAAATGAAATAACTTGTCATCGTTTATCAATATTTTGGATAATTTCATAGTTGGGTCTGGAAAACTATGTTTCAGCCTGTGCATATGGACACATACTGGGGCACATGCTAAGCTCTACAACAAGATGTTCAGTTTACCTGAGCCAAGCAACACTGAGAACTGAAGGCAAAGAAGCCTTTGGTCAGGACAGAGCTAGCTAGTTCTGGTTATCCTCATCCATGGGGTTTAAAAAGGCAGGGAGCACTTGTCTTAGGCGACTGACTCACTCTGGCGCCTCAGGACAGCCATGATAGAACGTTGGGACAGAACTCAGTCTTGTCTTCTCAGCTCCACACTGAGTGGAGTAAGTGCATCCCACTTACTTAGACTCACATGGCCTTTCCATGATGGGACTTCTCTTCTGTATGGGTTAGGCCAGACAGCAACTGAGACCAAACCTCCAGGATAGAATGCCCAGACAGACAGATCTCTCCCCACAGATCTCCCCCTACTCCCCTGCAGCCCCCTGGCTGGATCATCTGTCCAGAGGGAATCCCAGTTGGGGCTTTACCTGGACTCTGAACAATGTTTGCGTTTTAAGAGATTTATCCAATAAAGGTCTCTCATCTACTTCTCTCACCTTACTCTGGACTTCCAGACTGGTCCTCACTCAAAACTTGAGTCCAAGAATAGGCTTTTCACTTTCCCTCTCTTACTCTCTCTGGGAGACTACCTCTCTGACTGCCCCTCTACTACCCAACCGAATCTCCTCCTTCTTCAGTCAGGCCTGAGGATCCTGAGTCTGCTTTTACTCACAATGGCTCAGGGGGCAGATGTCCCTCCTTTACTCCTCAGTGATAACCCTCATCCTGTTGCATAGTGGTGCTGACCCAACCACTTGAAAAGGACAGGTGGTAGGAGGTCAATCCCAGACAACTGAGTTCCAAAGAAGATTCCAGCAACCCAGTTGACTGGTGCAGGCCTCCAAAGCCTAGGGACAGTAAGCCAGAAGAGATGCGGTTAGTGTGCTGGCTGAATTTTAAACAAGGGTACCTCCTGACTTGACTCTTTCACGTTCGAGAAATGGGAGATCTCTCCTGAATTGTCCAGATTACTGTCTTCAGGGTAAAACAGTAGGTCCAATTGAGTCAACCCAGTAGCCATCTCTGAAGAAATTAATTGGATCAGTCAATCTCAACAGCTAACTCTGTCAAAACATCCTGTCTAGGATTCTGTGTTGTTGGGTCAGGGGAACTGATACAGGCCACTGTGTGTGTGTGTGTGTGTGTGTGTGTGTGTGTAAGGGGGGGGGTCTCAGGGCTTTTTTGAGTTCCTGGGAATGTGCAACTGTGTGTGGGCCCAGTGGATGGGGGGGTCACAAAGCTGGAGCTGTGGGAAGAAGCCTGCTCTGGCTTTTATACTTTCTGACCACCAACCCAGTCTTACTCAGTCCTTTTCAGTGTAGGAGCAGAATGTGGGAGCTTTGCCAAGGGACAGTCACACTCTGAAATCTTGTACAGTAATGGGAGGAAAAGATGGGGAAGCTAGAGTGTATATTTACACACACCCATAGGGAAACGAATATATCTGTGTAATATATATATATATATATATATATATATATATATATATATATATATATATATGGACAGCAGCTTCTACATATTTACTTCCATGTCCTTTCAGCTCAGGACTACTCAGAGAGGAAGCAGGAACCTTTCCCATGAGAATAGTTTCCATTCTTCCAGCCTTCTGTGTTGTGTTTAAGGGCCTGCCTTCACAGTATTTAAGGCCTAAGAGTGACAGAAAGAAGTAGGGTCTGGATGCTTGCTGGTCCTGGCTTGCTTTTACCTCCTGCTGGCAGGATTTTCAGCCGACTAGTAGTCCTTCCCTGCAGGAGTGCTTTAAGCCTGGAGTCTTTAGGTGACTTCTAGTTGATCTACCTATCAGCCTTGTTCTTCCTCCACACCACTTTCCTCCTCCTCCACATAGCTGGTCTAGGAGCTGGATGCTTCAGGACTAGATCATTAAAAGATAATCAGTCTTCGGGGCCTAGATGGAGGTAGCGTTGCAAGGGCACAGGAAGAAACCTAAGGGACTTCTGCCATCCCTTGGCCTTTCTGCTCCCCCCTGGCAATGCTGGATTTGGGCCGGTAGGGCCTTCATCAGGCCTGGGCTCGCCTCTTGGCTCAAAGTGGATTCTGCTTGTCGTGTGGTCCCCTGCGGGTAGCTCCAGAGTATGGTTTCAGGGCAGCGGCAAGGGAAAAGGTGTCAGAATAGCAGAAATGGCAGGGCCTTCGCTGCAGAGGCCTGCGACTCACCGCCCCCTTCTCTCTGTCTGTACCTGCGCATGCTGCTGTCGCCTCTGGGCTGCAGCAAGCGACGTTCCCCAGGACGGGCTGCTTTTGCACGGGCCTTTCGCGCGCAAGCCCAAGCGGATCCGCACGGCCTTCTCGCCCTCGCAGCTGCTGAGGCTGGAGCGAGCCTTCGAAAAGAATCACTACGTGGTGGGCGCTGAGCGGAAGCAGCTGGCTGGCAGCCTCAGCCTCTCAGAGACGCAGGTAAGCATCCCTCTGCAATAGTAGCCCTCGGAGTGCCTGAGGTGGGAGGTTGGATGCAGGGCTCCCTACCCATCGGGTTCCAAAAGCCACCTGCAGCGTCGCAGTCCCCAAAACTCTACCCGCTCTCTGTACGTGCCCCATAAGTTGCAGAAGTGTTGTTTGTAATGAGACAGGGTCTCACTATGTAGTTCAGTATGACCTCGAACTCGCAGCAATCCTCCTGTCTGTCTCCTGCGTGCTGGGATCACATAAATATGCTAACTTGCCCAGCTTTCCCAGGCCTTATAATCAGCGCTAAGGATCACACCAGATGCATGGTATATTGAATTTGATGCGCAGTGCGCCCAGGCTACGAAGATCCCTAGCCTAAAGATCCCGTCACAGCACCCACAAGTCTGAGGGCTGGGGGGTGGGGGTGGGGGGGCGTGATCTGGTCTCCACTGCCCTGCCTGTGCTGATGTTAGTAAGCAAAGCCGGTGAGACCTCATCTGACCTCCAGCATCTGTGGTGTGTGGACAAAGAAAGCCAGTGTCAGCTTCTCCACAGAAGAGTAAGGAGAGGTCAGCTAAACCTAACTGTGTGAGAGTGGCCCTGATCCCCACCGGGCCATCAGCAGCTAGGGCTCTGAGCACTGTTGCACATTCGCGTTTGTTCCGCTAATCACCTTGAAGCCACAGGCCTTTGAAACCTTGGGAACCGAGACAGTAGATGTGAGCACGCAGGGCTGCTGGGTGGAGGAGGCAGTGCACTGTATCGGTGTTGGGGGCCTTGAGTGAAGTGATATTACAATTCCCAGGTAGGGTTTAGAAATTGATTGTTTAAGGGAAAACATTCAAGAAGTCTAGAGAATGGTAAGGAGGCAAGCGTGAGTTTTTGGTTTTGTTTTTTGTTTGTTTGTTTTTGCTTTTTTTTTTTTCTGTAAAAACCTCACCATATATGAACACGGGTTGGAAGTGCCACCAAATGCTTGGTCTGTTCCTGTGTACAAGGACTGAAGCAAGCGGCTGAATGACTCTCAACCTGGTTGGTGTACTGGACTGCTTTCTAGTTTAGGCTTTCCTACCCTGCCAGCTCCTTATCTGCTAGCACTGAACCTTCCCCTGCTCTCTCCTCTTACTTTGCCCCTGCTATACAATTCACAACCGAACACCCCTCTTCAGGTAGGGGGGTCTGCCTGTGCCTTCCTATTACCTTCTGGGGTAGCATGGGTACTAGTCCGGTAGACAGAGCCCCTAGCTGCACCCCAACTCCCTATACTGTTCTACTGTTCTTATTCACTGGTCCTGGCATTTTGGCTACAGTATCTGCTTCTACAGATATAACAGTTGAAGCATGGCCTCCTTCCAGGCTACCACAGGACTGCAGAACCTGTAGGTTTTCTGGGTTGCTGGTTGACAACTCTAACTGGAAGGGGAAAAAAAGTCTTACAAAACAGCAGAGTTAATTTTAAAAAACTGTTTTAAAGAAATCACTGTTTAAAAAATAAGCTAATAAAATAACACCTCTTTTCCCTCCTGGCAAACAGTGCTTTACAATTATTGTTTAAAACAAGGTGTCAACTTAAGAATGGTGTTTATAATTAACTTCATGTAAAAAAAATAATATTTATTAAATGTTAATTGCAGAAATGCAAGAAAACAAAACAGTTTATAGTTCTGCCACCCACAGATTAGCACTTGTTCAAATCATGTCATTGTTTTTAAACTTTCAATTTTTTTTTTAACACGGTGAGAGCACGTTTAATTAATTTTCTTTCGAACAGGACCTACTTCCTGTCAATTTTAACTTCTAGCAGTGCCAGTTCATAGTTCTCAGGCTGGTTGTACTTCCATTTTCAAACATACATTTAGAACAAAACCTAAGAGATTGATACGATGTGTCTAGCTCTGCTACCTACCCATCAGGACTCTTAGTTAACCCTGTTCCTTTGGGACACACAGAACAACACCCCTGTCCCGTCACCACATTGCCTGAGGGGCCCTGTCTTTCCAGGCAGAGACCCTAAGGTGGAGAGATAGGCTAAGCAGAGTATCCAGGCCAGCAGATGTGACTTCAGTACCAGTCTGCCTGCTGTGCTCCATGGGTTAACCTCTCTTCCATGAACTCAAGTAATATCCATTCCCATTCCTTGTTGGGTCCATTCTCTTTGCTCAAAGTAATATGTCACATTAGTAGCATAATAAAGGCCTTGCCAAGGTGTCCCCTAGGCCAACATTCTTCCTGCCACATTTGATAGCCATCGTCAGAGCTGCCTTTCTGTTGTCCTTGAAACTTACTGTTCGGATGCATGCTGTATAATTAACTAACTACCCATCTCTCAGAATTTGACATGCAAGCTCTTCTGTCAAGTGTCTGTTACTCCATTCAGCTCCCTGCTATGTGTTTCTAATATGAAACCTACATTTCTCAGGCCTTTCTCCCGTGCCCCTCATTTGTAAATGTCTTTTATCTAGCAACCTGTATCTGTCTACTGCCATTAAACTCTCACCCCAAGTTGGTAAATGTTTTCTCCAAATTACATGCTTTTCTTCCTGACGATAACCTCCATGTGCCCATCTGTTGATTATCTCGGCCATTTTGTCCTCTGTATGCCCACCATCCATCCCTAGAGAGCTATTGGCAACTAGCAGTATCTTCACACACCTGCTGACAAACAGCCATCATTCTGTCAACTCAGCTCTGACTTAAACTTCTCCCCAGACTTCAGTTGTCACATTGCTGTGATGGAATGAAATAAATGTCAGGGTCCTCTCCATCCTTGAATTTGTAAGACTCATCCATCCACTTTTAATTTCTGACACGTGTGTGGGGGAGGGGGGAGAGAGAGAGAGAGAGAGAGAGAAAGAAAGAAAGAGAGAGAGAGAGAGCCCTCCTCCATGTCCCCAGAACTCATAGTGTCTCCCTTGCCTTTTCTAATATCCATCACATTTTGTTGTTATGACTTAATTATCTATCCTGTCCATATGCCATTCTGTAGATCAGCTGCATTCATCTCTCAGGGAGCTCTTAAAATATAGGGATACCCACGAGATGCTCTTAGGACATCCAAGATGCAATCCAAGGGAGGAACATTTTTCAACAGCTCCCTGGGTAATTAGGGTGAACAATAGGTCTGAACATCTTAATTGTGGGAAGCAGAGGTCAAGTTTATTTCATCATACGCTCCAACACAGTGCTCAGCATGGAGGAGATATTCAGTGAATGTGTACTGAATAAAAGCCAGGCATGGGGCTGGAGAGATTGCTCAGTGGTTAAGAGTATTAGCTGTGCTTCCAGAGGACTAGGTTTCGGTTCCCAGCACCCACATGCAGCTCACAACCACCTATAACTCCCATCCCAGTGGATCCAACACCCTCTTCTGGCCTCTGAGGGTACTACATGCTTGTGATACGCATACACAGGTAGCCAAAACATTCATACACATAAATTTTTTTAAAAAGAGTTTTCAGCCAGGCAGGCTGGTGTATACCTATAATTCCAGCACTCAGGAGGTAGCAGAGGTCATCCTGAGATACATTGAATCCCCATCTTGGTCTACATGAGACCCTGTGTCTCACATCAACAAATAAAACACTTACACTGACTGAGCAGGCACATTTGTGGAGTCCACATATATGGCCAGCCTTTGCTCTCTTTCTTGGCTGCTCCTTCACTGTTTGTCCCCTCCAGCTGCCCAGTCACATTGTCATAGTTGATTGTTGGTTTTGACGGTACAGAGGCAGACTGTGGGTAAGTCTGAGGTGGGGGGCTCTGAGTGGGCAGAGCTCCAGCTTGAGGTGTTGGGAGGTGGGTAGCAGCTGGTGCAGCGCTGTGTAGAGTAGCTTGGAGTGGCAGAGCGGTGTTCATGCTGGGATGACCTCTGAGGTGCTCTGTCCAATAGGAGAAGAGACAGACCCCGGGGACACAGGTAGCTCTCCCTTTTGTGCCGAGTTCATCTCACCACTACCATGCAGCCCTGGGGTCTGACCAGGAAGGGATTCATCTAAGCTTGCATCCATATGGCTGCTTGGCAAACGTAGACCTGGGTAAGACCTGCACCTCTAACACCAGGAGGATGTGTGCTCGCCATACAAGACACCCGCAGGCTGACTTTTCTGGGCACCAAAGAGCTGGGCCATACCTCAGGGACCCCTCGGATGCTAGTGGGAAGCCACAGGACTCATGAGAATGAGTGTTGTTCCTGGCTAATCGAGTGTTCCGGTGACCCCTAGAATAGACCAGCAATGTCTGCCTTTTACTTTTGCTGAGCTGTGAGGGAAAAGGCAGGAATGTGGTCTCGGACCTTGGACAGTCTTCACATAATGGTGGGAGATAAATGCAATGCTGCACGCCTGTGGGTCGAGCATAGAGCACGCAACTAGAGCCCTCCTGGAGTCACAGCTCAGACTGGGGGGGGGTCAGGATAGCAGACAGGTGGGAGGTTCTCAGCAGGCTTCTGGCCGGCAAAGTTTGGAGGGACGAGTAGGAATACAGACAGGAGGAGGGAAGGGCAAGGATTTGAAGAGGGCAAATTAAAATGGAGATAGAGATGCCAGAGCCAGCTGCCATCGTGGGGCTTGAAGGCAGGGAGGGAAAGAGGTCTTGGGAGGCTCCAGTATGTCCTTACCTACCTATGGTTTTTCCTCACAGACATTTGGGGTGGGTGCCTTCTGCCACGGGATGTCCTTGAAGGGATAGATAAGGAGATATCCAAGTGACTTAAATTTTAGGGGGAAGTAAAAAAAAAAAAAAAACTAACTAACTAAAAACAAAACAAAAAAACCTGTGACATGAACTTACTGTGGCTGTGGCTCTGGGATGACACACCCTTTCTCCTAAGTCTTGGTTCAATGGTTTCCACATTCCTGATAGTCTAGAAGACCTACATGGTGGGCTACAGAGAAGCTAATTGAGGTGACAGTGGTTCCCTGAGGTGCTAGGACAGGGAAACAGCCCGGATAGGCAGGTGAGTTTAGTAGAGTTGAGGGTGAGGGTCTAGGGCATGGAGGGAGCAGGGTTCAAGATGGCTCAGAAGGAGAGAGGGCTACAGCTAGGGGGCAAGTTGGAGGTGACCTCAGCTTGGGGGAGTAAGGGTTGAGCTGACTCTGCATGTAGGAAGGCTGACATGATCAAATGATAAGAAATGGATCCCCCAAGAGAGGGCAGGGAAGGGAGCAGGCTGGAGGGTGGCTTGATTGATGTCTCCAAGCTGCTGTCTATTCTAAGGACTTGCTGTGTCTGAGACCGACAGACTCAGAAGACATGCTTAAATTAAAGCAGAAGAGAGCACAGTAGAACATAAGGAGGAACTTCCCTTGTAGCGTTGTAAGATCTTGACAGGGATGTTTGGACTTCTTAAAGGTGGGACAGCGTCCTTCCTGGAAAGGGTACAGGTGCCTGGAGCTGAAGTGCTTGAGATTGCAGGTGTGGTGAGCAAGGTGGAGTGAGCCCTCCTTTGTTCAAAACAGCAGATCACCCAAAAGTTAGGTGTGATGAACGCCGAAATACTCGCAGGAGCTGTTTCCCACGTATTTGTAGGCTCACTGCCCATCTGCTCATGCATTGGCACACGCATGTCTTCACCATAACATATAGCGACCAGTCCTCTGAGGGCGGGACATGTTGGTCCATCCCACATGACTCAAAGTGAGCACTGCTCCTCTCTACAATGGCTCTCTCTCCACCAGCTTTCTCCAGCAAGTAGTCAATCCACTCCCTCTTGCTTTCTTGTGCTCTCCCTGGTTTCAAATCTCCTGCGCACAAATTTCCTATCTAGTTTTATTTCTATCGATGCTGCTAAAATATCCTGAACAAAAAATAAGAAAGAAAGAAAAAGAAAAACAAAACAACAACAATGTAAGAGAGGGAAGAGTTTATTTGGTTACAATTCCAGATTGCAGTCCATCACTGAGGGAAGTCAAGACAGGAGGTCAAGGCAAGTACTTGATGGTAATAGGCCTGCTGGCTAGTTCACACAGGGTGGCCTTTGACCAAGGGACTCACTTCACAGCCAAAGAAGTGTGCATCAGGAACCATGGAGGATGTTGCTTGCTGGAATTGAGGCAGGTTTATGCTCAGCTTTCTTATACAGTTCAAGCCCACCAATGGCATGGCCCACAATGGGCTGGGCCAACCTACGTTAGTCAGCAAGAGAATTTCCCACAGACGTGGCCACAGGCCAATCTGATTTAGGCACGTCATCAACCTGAGATTATCTTCTCAGGAAAATTCTAGGGTGTGTTAAATTGGCTAACCTAGACAGTTTGGTTTCTCCCTAAACAGTTAATGCAGAATAAGAGTTGATGCTCAGGACAGCCTGGTCCACATAAGGAGTTCCAGGCCAGCCAGAGCTACAAAGGGAGACCCTGTCTCAGCAAAACCAAAACCAGAACAAAGCAAAAACAAACAAAAAACACTCTTGCAAAAGCATGTCCCTAAAGGACTCTGCATTTCAGCACTCAGCACATCCATGGTCCCTTTTCTGGTTTGTTCTAGTACCTTTTCTGCTGCTTCCTCCCATTTTTGAGATCTGTCCCTGGCACCTCTCCCCAGAGTACAGGGCTGGGTCAGTCCACCTCTGTCCAATTGGATGGCCATACATGGACAGGGCCCTGGGCCTTGAGACTCAACTCCAAAGCCAGAAGAAGAGTCCAGGAATGCCTGAGCAGGCTCTTCAAGGCCAAGTGAGAGTTACAGATTACACAACCCAGTCCAATATGGGTCTATCTGGCATAACAAGAAATTGGGAGATACTCAATGAAGTGGGGATTCAGGAGACCACAGGAGCTTCTCCCTCAAACCCCAGTGGGAGAGGGGGGTCAAGTTGGGTGGGTGGGGCCTCCAGACAAACATTCCACATTTGTCTTTGGGGCTGAGAGAGGTGACTCACCTGTTGGTGTTGGGAGGGGAGAATACATAGCAGGCATGGCCTCCTAAAACTGGTTCCCATGGAACTGGTAGCCACACTATGTGATCTGCCTTCCCTACAGGGCCTCTGCCCTCTAGCAAAGGGGCTGACCCAGAGTTGCCTAGCTGGGTTAGGTTATAGGGTGTCACTATCATCTCCCTGGCATGCCAGTTCCTTTCTTTATTTTTAATCCAAGGTGGCAGGGAAGACCTCTTGATGACAGTAACGGGCTAAAGAAAATTCAGAGAAGTCACTGGTGGTTTGGGTCCCGTCTGTTCTTTCTTGCCCAGGCATAGATTCTGTATCCCGTGCCTGTGAGTGAGTACACCGTACCAACACTGTTCGCCCTGGCTTTTGTATTATTGTGAAGTCACAGCGTCCCTGCTATTACATACAGGCTTTCTAGACGGCGTCTGGATACCCAGCCTAGGGCTGTTCTGCAGAAGACAGCCAAGATGCCTAAGACGAGGCCTGTGCCCTGGTTTCTAGAGAGCGATGGAGCTGCTCCCTGCGCCCTGGTTTCTAGAGAGCGATGGAGCTGCTCCCTGCGCCCTGGTTTCTAGAGAGCGATGGAGCTGCTCCCTGCGCCCTGGTTTCTAGAGAGCGATGGAGCTGCTCCCTGCGCCCTGGTTTCTAGAGAGCGATGGAGCTGCTCTCTAGCCCTCAGTGTTGGCTTTGAAATAGTGTCTCATGGATCCAAGTCTGGCCTCAGAGTCACTATATAGCTGAGGATGATCTTAAACTTCTGATTCTTCAAGTACTGAGCCTCCCAAGTACTGGGACTATGGGCATGCACTACTACCTCTGGTTTGTGTGGTGTGGTTTGTGTGGGGCTAGAACACAAGGCTTGATGCATGCTAGGCAAGTACTTTACCACCTGATTACCGGTGACTTTAATTCTCTTATGGAAAAAAATAATAGTTGGGACCCTCTTTCGTGTGGTGTGGCAGGATGCTACCCAGGCCTGAAGCCACGTGCTGGGCTTTTGCTCTGCCGTTGACCCTTCTTTTCTTTGGGAGAAAGCTGCCCGGCAAGGGTAGCTTGCTGGGTCTGTCCCACTAGAGGCCACTGTAATCATGAGTCTCCAGAAGGAGACTTGAGGATGGGGCCAGAAGGAAAGGTGCAGGACCCTCTGCCTCTGGGCGTTGCCCATGGCCACCTGGAACCACTTGCATCCAGCCCACTTGGTCTTGTCAGATATGACATCCTGTACCCAGATCGGAGTCACACACAGGAGGCAGGGCAAGCCCACCCACCCACTGGCTGGCACAGCCACAGTGTGCTCTGGGGAGGAGGGCAGGAGCTGGGCTGGCTGCCAGCGGTGTGCTGAGAACCATCCAGGGCCTAGGTGGGCATGGAATCCAGAAGTCCTGAGCTCAGAGCACCCAATACCTTCCCTTTCTATCCAAGGAAAGGTACACAGGCTACAAGTTTGACCCCTGCCCTAACCTCATTCACCAAGGCCAGGTGCCCCCTGGACCAGCTTTCTTGTCTTGAGCTGGTGGCATTTGGAGCACTGAGCATCAGTGTTCCCACCACCAACCTAGTGGCAGGACAGATGGCTCCGTGGAGGTCTTTCGCCGGGATTGTGAGAAGAACCTGGGAGGGCCTCCATGACAGAGAGGAAGGGTGTGTGAGGCTGGCACATTCTAGGCATGAAACCATCCTACAGCTGGGATACCAAGCCCACTGCTGTCTGCCACTACCTGCCTTTGCAGCTGTGTGCGTGCTTGTCTCCAAGGGCTGCCTTCAGCCCTGCGCTGAGTTCTAGATCCTCCTTCAGCAGTCACTGCAGTTGCCAGAACTGAAATGTGCACCACCACAACTTAGCCACGCTGTCTGCACAGCCATGGCGGGCAGCCCCTGCTTGCTTTCAGCCATGCTGATATTCCCAGCAATACTTCAGGACGTGCAACTCAATATCCCCACAACCCCTACCCAGAGGATCCACTGGCATAGGACAAGGCTTCCCAAAGGCATCTCTTCTGTGGATGAGGGATGTAAGTCCACAGAAGAGTCCTAGCTGAGGAAGGTACCCAAATTTCTCCTGCTAGCACCAAGGAGGGTTTGGGACTGGCTGGTCCTCCAGGCCGAGTGAAGAGATGTACAGCCAAAGTGGGTAGACTTATGCTTTTTCCATAGCATAGAGAGGGTGCATAAGGAGCCACTCATGGGAGTAACGCTTGGAGAGGAGGAAGGAAGGATGGTAGAGATGGGACTAAATGGGGCTTCCTGGAGATGCCTAGAACCACAGGCCTGTTCCTGTCATCACAGTCCAGCTATGCAAGATCTACCCTTATTTTTCCAGGGACTCCTACTGCCTGGCATGGAAGTGGGGGCTCCCTATGTTCGAATAGACACTCACTTCTGTCCCCCAATATCCATTCTGATTGTTGAATGACCTGCGACATGTAGATGGGCCACAAGGGACAGTTAGTTGGACCAGGAGGTGCAGAGCTCACCCTGTGTATGGAGCTGTGGGCCTCAGAAAGAACTCTCCCCGTATTTGTCTGCCCAAGGAAGTCAGAGGTTGATGGGTAAATTTCAGCCTGGCCCAAGGGACAGGGTTCCCTACTGCACAGCTCTGGTTGCACAGCTCTACTTCCGAAGTGGGTAGGAAGAGCTCACAGTACTGCTAGGATAGGATTCCAGGTGACTAAAGCTGGCAGTCAGCACATGAGTTTTCAAGGTCCATGTGGTTCTGGGATCTTAGATGTAGTCTGGCTGTCACGGGCCGTGCTCCGGGCTAGGAAGCCTTGTCTGTCTCCATGCAGCACCGTGGACCAGTGCAGGAGATGGGGTGTGCTTTGGGTCCTCTGGGTATTGCTGGAGCTCTCTTCTGTCTGCCCACTGTGGCTGCAGGGGCCAGGAGGCTCCTTTGTCTAGAAAACTGCCCTTATCTCTGGACCAATCATTTCCCTGCCTCCACGCTTGCTTCTCAAGAGCAGTCCTCCAGACCTGTCAAGTGGCAGATATCTGGAAGAGAGAAACGCGGCCTGTGTAGCCTCGGCTTCCCCATCCGACTCCCAACTTAGCAGGAGTGTGGAGGCCATCTTGGCTGCTTTGGGTGTTTCTTACCTGTGCCCCTCCCTCCCTCCTGGCCCAGGTGAAGGTGTGGTTCCAGAATCGGAGAACAAAATACAAACGGCAGAAGCTGGAGGAGGAAGGGCCTGAGTCCGAGCAGAAGAAGAAGGGTTCCCACCATATCAACCGGTGGCGCATTGCCACGAAGCAGGCCAATGGGGAGGACATTGATGTCACCTCTAACGACTAAGGGAACAATCATGAGCCCACAAGGGCAGGGCATTGCTTGCTGCTGGCCGGGGCCCCAGGGGGCCCAAGCTGGACTCTGGCCAGTCCCTAGCCAGGCTGCAGGGAGGCCTCGGGTCACGGCCCCACAGGGCTTGGAGCCTAGGGCCATCACTGTCAGAGGGACAAGAAAATGGGCTGGCTGAGGCCTGGGACTGCTCGGCCTTCTGGTGGAGAGCCTGCTGCTTGGGTGGGTCACCCATTACTGCAGCCTCCCAGCTGCTCTCCATGTCTCTTTCTGTCTTTGTTTTGAGGTATTTCTGTTTTAATTTATTTTCCAGGTACCTGCTGTAGTTTTTAGTGATCCTTTCATGTCCCCCTTCCCTATGGGAATAATAAAAATCTCTCTCTTAATGACACAGCCATCCATCTTCAAGTATAGAGCCTGGGCTGGTGGGTCTCAGTTCTCAGTGCAGTGGAGCCTGAAGGGTCACCTCAGTTGGGTCATTGCAAACTCCTGGAGGGCTAGGAGGGTAGAGAGTCCTTGCACGGAGAGTCTAGGGGCTTCTCCAGCTGAGGAGAACCCAGAGGAAGGAATCCTGGGAGAGGCTAAGGAGGTCCCAAGTCCAGGCCCTACACAGATGTGCGCCTGTCCTGAGGGACCCAAGGCAGCTTTTTTGTTTGTTTCTTTTTCAGATGCAAGATCTTACTCTGTTGCCCAACCTGGCTTGCTAGTCACATCAATCCTCCTGCCTCAGCCTCCTGAGTGCTGGACTGTAAGTATGAGCCACCACCACATGTGGTGTCCATGGTCTTGATGGAGCTTGCAGAGGCCATCAACAAGGCAGACCCTGTAGTTGGTCTATTTGTCCTCACCCCGTGATACATCCTGGAGAAGTTCCGATTTGGGTTTCCGACAGTCTTGCCCCCAACCAACACCCAGGCGGCCTGCCTCTACTTCACCTCCCATGAACTCCCCACCCGTCCACTCCAGCACTCTGCTGATGTGAATGGCAGTCAGCCACCGCTGTCCCAAGTTCCCCTGGCGGCCACATCCATCCACTTCCTGCCTGAGTTAATCTGTTTCTTCACCTGCCAGGGATGCCCTCCTTTTCTCCCTAACCCTTATATCTCCATTTTGGGCCCCTCATCTCCTCTTCCCCGGGTTCACCCACACCTCACATCTCTCCTACCCAGCTCATCGATTCCTGGCTAGCCCACTTACAGTTGGTCAATGCAGCATCCCACAGTGGTCTCTGCCACCTGCTTGAGCCCAGTCTGCTCTCTGGGAGAAGCATGGACACTAAGTGGCCTCTGTGTGGCCAGGAGGGGTCTGTGGTCAGGCAGGGTAGTGTCTACCCTCTCTCAGTCCTGTGCTGACCTGTGGTCTCTCCTACATCGCTCCTGGTGTCCCTGATGAGCTGCCTCAGCTTGTGTGGGCCTGTGCTGTTCTTCCCACCTGGGAAGTCGGTGAGTACCCTGGAGACAGCTGATCCAGGTTGAAGGCCCATTTGTGTTGCCTGGGCTAGGTGCAGAAATCCAAGCACACACAGTTCTTTTTGCTGAGAACACTCCTCTGGGCACCTTTTCTCCTCTGCCATTCCAATGTCCAGGAACACATCCCTCCGATCCTAAGTCTTAACCTGGCTAAGTCTGAATTAGACCCTCAACAACTCTTCCTGCCAAGCAAGTGCAATAGTTGTGGTGTGGTTGTGTGCGCGTGCGCGTGCTCGTGCGCGTGAACAGGTAGGGTGGGGATGAGGAGAGGTTCACTTTCAACACTAGTGGTGGTGGGACAGAGTGGGTGAGCACCTCTCCTGAAGATCCTGCCATGCTTGGCTGGGGTGGGGAGGTGGGGGGATGGGTCCTGGAAGATCACAGCAGACTGCCCTGTCAAGAAGATAAAGGACTAGAAGGACCGGAAACCTGCCAATCTTCCTCGGCAGGCCTGCTGGGGCGGGGCGGGGAGCCCCCTCCATCCCCCCCCCATGTTGTACCTCTCCCGCAGACGGTAAATATTGGTGTTGTGACTTCATTAATAAAGGCTTCTGTGAGCCTGAAAAACATGGAATCAGGATGAACTATTTTCTGAGCTGTGGGCTTGCCAGGTTTGCTAATTTGGGAGTTTTTGGGCCCTCTCCAGGGAACAAACCGAAGTCTCTCCCGAAGAGACGAAGACACGCAGATGCAGCCCAACAGTGAGAAGACAGGGCTGCTGCTCCTTCGTCCCGAAGACTCCTGCCGAGAGAGGGAGGCCTGCAAAGGGCCAGAGAGTGGACGCTGGCCTCCTCCCCTGTGTCTGTGTGGGGGTGACCTGCTGGACCAGCAAGCTCCCTAAGCTAGCCTGTGCTGACCTCCAGAGCCCCGAGGAATGATGGTCCGATTCTTCTGAACTCTTGCTAAGAGTTGCAGAAGCCCCATGTGTAGCAAGCTGGAGTTCTTAATGCTTCGTCGGGCCCAGCCCACATGCTTCTTCTCGGGGGAGCAACCATACTGTTTCCTCTTGTCCACAGAACTTTCCCAGATTGGTCTCTGCATGGTGCCTGCCCTCTTTACCAACCTCTCCTCACAGGTGCTGTGGTTGCTTCCCGCAGGACGTCAAGCGTTCTTTGACTGGAGGGCCAGGCTCTGCCTGAGAGGAACCAGCTAGCCCACAGGCCTCTCTGGGACCCTGCTCCAGGGCAGCCACACAGAGGGAGGGGATGGGGTGGTGCAGGCCCAGCCAGCTTTCCTGTCAGACGGAGCTGCCAAGGCGGAGCCAGACATCGGGAACAGGTTTAACCAATTACCCGAGCGCCCCATCTGCTGTCTGGGGTTCGTGTGAGTGCATGTGAGGGTGTTTGGAGTGTCTGGGAGGGCTGTGGGCGTGCGCGAGAGTGTGACTGTGTGGGTGGGTGTGGGCGTGTGGCTGTGCATGTGCGCTGCACACGTGCTCGGAGTGTGGCTGCACATCCTGGCCGTGCCCCCTCATTTGTCCCAGACTGAAGCCAGCAGCTTCTGGACTTCCTTCCTGGCCCCAAGACCTTGGGGTCTCTGCGGACAACCTACCTAGCACCTCAGCTTCTTGTCACCAGCCCTCTTCGTGCCTGGGAAGAGTACTTCCAAGTCACATGTTCAGATGCCCCTTGCCGGCTGCTCCTGCTGGTTCGCTCACTCTTAGCGTGGGACCGCACAGGACTCTATTCTCTTTGATATACCCTTGTTCCGCTATCCTCGGTTGTACCAAGCTAGCGGAGTTACAGGTCTGTTCAGACCACGTCTAGACCCACGTTGAGCCATGAGGACACCAGATGATCGTGTATGGTAGTGACACCCTCTGCAGACCCTCAGCACAACCCTTACTCCCTTTGATAAATCTATTCTTGCTCCCTACAATAGAGGCCTTAGACGGTCACCCCTCTCCCTAAGCCTGGCTTAGTCAGAGAGGACACTCTTTCCACCTGCCTCCCTTTCTTCCTTCCCTTTCGAGACAGACTACCGTGTATGCCAGGCTGGCCTCATATTTAATATACAACTGAGAATGAACATGACCTTCTGGCCCCTCCTGCCTTCATCTCCTGAGTAACTGGAGCTTGTACCCAGGGCTTTAAGAATGCCAGGCAACCAACTCACCTACATCCCCAATTTTGTGACTCCCACCCTCAGAGAGAAAAGTGGTCCCTGGAAGGCATCACTTAGAGAAGGGGAGTTGACAAAAAGGAACGACTAACAAATCTGAAGAAGGCATGAAGGATGCTGGTACGCCCCTTGTAAGATGGGGAGCCTGATACGGGATAGCCCTTAGTAACAATGGGAAGGCTGTGTAGCCCCCCAGGCCTGAAGGGGCAGGAGTAGTGACCAGCAGAACCTGGAGAGGACAGCTGGTTAGGGAGACCCCAGACTGGAGCTGTGACCTCAGGTGGAGAGAAGTCTACGAAAGTTGGAGGGTCGGGAAGGACAGAGCCCTCCAGGCTTGCTCTGCCAGTCATGACTCCAATGGGGGAAGTTAGACTGCAAGGTCTCCCATCAGCCCACCTCTCAGGATTGTGAACGAGGGAGGGCCTCACGGCGGGCTCTCTGTCCTCTCTGGACACTTCTGTATCTATTTCCTCCTCTCTACCTGCCTCCTGAAGGTCTCAAGAGCTCTCTGATGTGGGCTCCAGTCTGTCTGTTCTCCAGGACACACGCTTTGGCTTCTGGACTTTTTTCCTGCCTTTAGATTCCCTCCTTTGTCTACTGAGTTCAGTGTCAGACTGCCATGACATATAGCCATCTCTCTCTTCCAGCCTCTACCCAAATCTGAAGAATTACTTCCACATAGGGCCAGGGAGACAGCTTTCCATGCAAGCATGTAGACCTGAGTTTGATCCCGTGCAAAAATAAACAATGTCCCCCAAATCAGGTTCCCAGTGCTGGGGACACAGGAGGATTCTTAGAAGCCTGTAAGCCAGGTAGTTTTTCCAACTCAGTAACTTCTGGGTTTAGTAAGAGACCGTGGCTCAAAAAATAAGATGGGAGGTGGGAAAGAGGAGAGATGAGGTGGTTCAGCAGTTGAGAGCGCGCACTGCCCTTGTGGAGAACCTGAGTTTACATGTTGGGGGGCTGACAACTGCCTACAACTCTAGCTCTAGGGATCTGATGCCTCTGGCCTCTGGGGGTGCCTAAGCGCGCGCGCACACACACACACACACACACACACACACACACACACACACACACACACACGCACACACACACACCAACCCACAAAGCTTGTTTTTGCCCTGACCACACTGTGACCATTCAGCTCTCTTTGGCTGGCTGAGCTTTCTGGGCAGCTTCTGGTCTCTCCACATAGGTGGAGCTTCCATAGGACTTTACACTACACCTTCTCTTTTTGCTAACATACTGTACTTCTAGATGCAGCCAATAAATAAATCCTGTACAAGTCTTTTGCTTTGCTTTTGAGATCAGGCCTGGAATAGGTCAGTGAGGATGACTGACCTCTCACTCCCGATCCTTCATCCTCCACTTCCCAAGTGTTCAGATGACAGCAGGCATGAGCCACCTCAACTGGCTT